ATATGAGGTTATTGAAATACCATGGCTTGGGTCAATCACACCTTAGTCCTCAAGCTGACATCTTCGCTTTTCAACATTTTAAAAAGGTCTTGTGCAGTAGATTTGTCTAATGCAATATGTCGTTTGATTTCTTGACTGCTGCTTCCATGAATGTTGATAGTTGATTCAAGACGAATGAAGTCCTTGAAAACTTCAATCTTTTCTCCATTGATAAGAATGTTGTTTAGTGGTCCAGTGGTGAGGATTTTTGCTTTCTTTACGTTGAGTCCTGGTGTGGCACTGTGAGTTAATGCACCAGACTACAAAGCCATTTGAACTGCAAGGTCAGTGGTTCAAGCTCACCATTTGCTCCTTGGAAACCCTATACTTGGTTGCTGTGGGTCGGAACCGACTCAACGGCACTTAACATTACCACTGTAAAAATAAGCTGGTGAGTCAGGAAGGGTGGCCTTGATCCTATGTTCTTAGCTATGACCCACCCTAGTAAAGTTGTTACAGGAGTTGCCGACACCACATGGGTTATAAAAAAAAGGAAGGACTTTATTGTATTGACTCGTGGCTCAGTGGATTCTTATCCAGAGACTGAGCCCCATTTATAGGAAGGACCCTAGTTTATATAATGTTTGGGTCTTTGGGGTGTTACAGAGTGAGTGAAGCAGGGTGTGTAAGGCTGGTATTTGCTTCTTCATATGGTGGGGAGTTTACAGAAGCAGAAGCACCTGAGTTTTAACCTTGGGGGCTTTGTTATTTCCAAGAGGCAGTCTGAAACAGGTAGAAGTTAGTTGTGATAAACATGTGGGGCTAAGGAGGTCTGTTGTTTGGCTCCTGGAATATGGACTCTGTCCTTGGAATGAGATGGGTACTCTGGGAGCTGGGGCCCAGTGCCTGCCTCAAAGTGACCCTTGTGACCATATGTCTCTCTCTTTTAGGAAATAAGTTCACTTTACTCTTAAAGATAGTTGACAGCTTGACTAGAAGTTCATCATCATTTCACTTTTCTAGAAACCAAAAGCACTGATGATAAATGATAGCTCTTAAAATTTTTCTTTTATTAAAATCATGTTTTATGACACTTAATTAACTTGTTGAAAAGTCCTTGAAGTAGTCACTGTGTTGATTCAAGCCACCAAATTTCATAATTTGTGAATAGAATACATTCTGCGCATGCCAGAACCAGAGACCAGGATCCAAAAATGGCAATAACATTAACTCTTCTAGCAAACCGTGAAACATAGTTGGTAAAGTTGCTCAGATCATATTTAAAAACCTCTATTCCCTCCAACTTTTTGATACAGTTTCAATAAGTTGTCTAAATGCTTAATTCTGCACTAAAGGTATGTCATTCTGGTATCTCCAAGTTTTTATTTTTATACTTTATTTTTCAGCTGCTAAATTCTCTGTCTCTGTTTCTTTTCTATCAAGTTAATTCTGACTCAGCAAACCTGTGCTATTTCTGAGTGGCATTGATAGTACCTATCCTACAGCACCATATCAAGACTCCTAACAAACCTGTGTTGTTGTTGTTAAATACTGTCATTTGGTTCTGAATTATAGCGATCCTGTTTATGGTTTCCATGGATTGGCTGGTGAATTTGAACCAACGACCCTGTAGTTCAAACTGACATTTCGGTCCAGTGCTAATTGTACAGACCCACACCAGGATTCCTAGGATAGAGTCAAGCTGCCACATAGGCTTTCTAATGCTGTAACCTGTACAGAAGCCAACTGTCCATCTTTCTCCCGTGGTGCAAGTTGCTGGGTTCACATTGCAGCCCTTTTGATTAGCAACACAGAACTTAGCCACTCTGCCACCTTGGCTACTTGACAGATAAATAGGAAAGCAGATATTTCCAAGTCTAAATCCACTGACCTAGAGTTGACTATGACTCATAGCAACTCTACTCATGAGGCTGAAAATCATTATGGGAGCAAACAACCTCATACTTGTCACATGAAATGGCTGATGTGCTTGAACTACCGACATTGCAGTTAGACCAGTGCTTTGTCTACACTGCTATCAGCAGACTGTATTGCTCAGCATCATAAGAAAAGAAAAACCAAAGAAACAAAACATACAAAATCGAACAATAAAAAAAAGCAAATAAAATGTTCATGCATGAAAGATGGTTCATACAACAATGTGTTATTTATCTTTACCACAACTTGTCATCTACAGCTTAGACTCTTGCCATAGAGTTAAAAAGTCAATAACTTTTTGATTAAAAATCCCGTCTAATCAAATGAAGGAACCCTGGGAGTGCCAAAAAGTGGTGAGTTCAAACCTGTCATATGTTCCATGGGTTAAAAACGAGCTTTCTGTTCCTATAAATATTTAAAGCGTCAGAAAGCCTATGTTTGGTGGCTGTGAGATCAAATAAAAAATGACAGTGAGTTTGGTTTATTGCTTTTAAATGAGATAGAAAAACAACTGTAAAACAAAAAAATTATTCTTAGAAGATTCCCCAATAATATTTACATGAAACTTTCTTGTAAAATTTGTTTAATTAAATGTGCCTTGGGGTTTCAATTACCACAAGAATTATATATTCTTATAACTCCAGGATGTTATTCAAAGGACAGCAATGAATTTCTTACGCAACTGGAGACTCCTCTGTTGTTCTTTATGCTGTTAAGTGTCATTTAGTTGGTTATGACTCATAGCGAACATGTAAAGGGCTTCCAAGGAGTGGCTGGCGAGTTTCAACCACCCACCTTGTGGTTTAATCCAACCTTGCAGTACAGCGTCATAGCAGGAGTTGTTATATACAGCCTTACTAATGTCTGCATTAGTCAGACATATGAGCAATTACCAGGTGTTTGCTGTTTGAATGAAGGTGTCCCTAAGCACTGACATGGCTACAAGCATACATTGACAGAGAACTTCCAGGCTTCAAGCTGGATTCAGAAGAGGACATCATTGCTGATATCCTATGAATCTTGGTTGAAAGCAGAGAATACCAGAAAGATGGTTACTTGTGCTTCATTGACTACACAAAGGCTTTCGATTGTGTGGATCATGACAAGCTATGGACAACATTGCGAAGTATGAATATTCCAGAACACTTAACTGTGCTCATGAGGAACCTATATACAATCCTAGAAGCAATTGTTTGAACAGAACATGGGAACACTGAATGGTTTAAAAGTAAGAAAGGTGTGTGATAATATTATTCTTTCACCATACTTATTCACCCTGTATGCTAAGTAAATAATCTGAAAAACTGGGTTATAAGAAGAAAAATGTGGCATCAGGATTGAAGGAAGACTCATTAACAACCTGCAATATGCAGATGATACAAACTTGCTTGCTGAAACTTGAAGAAGACTTAAAATACTTATTGATGAAGATTAAAGCCTTCTGTATGGACTGCATCTCAATATAAAGTAACTAAAAATCCTCACCACTGGACCAATAAACAGCATTCTCATCAATGGAGAAAAGACTGAAGTTGTCAAAGACTTCATTTTTCCTGGATCAACCATCAATACTCATGGAAGCAGCAGCCAAGAACTCAAACAACATACTGCATTAAGCATGTCTGCTGTACAAGATCTTTTTAAAGTGGTGAAGAGCATAGATGTCAGCTTGAGGACTAAGGTGCGCTGATCCAAGCCATGGTATTTTCAATAACCTTCATATGCATGTGAAGGTCAGACAGTGAATAAGGAAGACCACAGACAAATTGATGCATTTGAGTTACGGTGCTGGAGGAGAATATTGAAAGTGCCATGGACTATATATCTGGAAGATGTATAGTCAGAGTGCTCCTTGGAGGCCAGGATGGCCAGACTTCATCTCTAGTATTTGGACACATTGTCAGGAAAGACCAGTCACTGGAGAGGGATATCATGTTTGGTAAGGTGGAGGGTCAGAGAAAAAGAGGAAGACCCCCAATGAGATGGATTGTCAAAGTGGCAGCATCAATGGGCTCAAGTGTGGCAAGAATTCTGAAATTGTCTCATGACTGGGCAAGGTTTCATTCTGCTGTGCAGAGGGTTGCTATAAGTCAGTATCAACTGGATTCACCTAACAACATCAACATAGGTTACATGGATCAAAACAAAACACAATGGGCATTTACTTTCTAGAGATTGAACCCTGGACCATATGTACCTCTTTAGGTTTCTGCTGATTTCTTGCAAAGACAAGGACATTTCAAATGTATCCTGAAGAGGGATCAAGCCTTTCATGGTTAGCAGTGATCTCTAATGACAGCCTGTCCTCAATGCCTGCAAACACAGACATATTTTATGTTACTCTGCTCACAATGAATGCTCACCCCGCCCTGTGCTCTTTCCACACTGCTACATCCACCAGGGTATTTGCATATTTCTCCCCTGGGAGGACCTTCCCTTGCAAGTCTGAGATAAAAGGTCAGCTCCAATCTGCCTTTATTTATTAAGACTCATCAGCTCTTTCTCAAAATGAGGTTCCCTGCTCAGCTTCTGGGGATGTTTTTGCTCTGGATACCTGGTGAGTACAGAGGGCAGATGAGAAGGAGAAGGGATGGGAAGTGTGAGCTTTGCCAACCACAGGTCCTATGTAGAATCTGTTCCATTCAGTGAACAAATGTTATCCTTCAGCAAGGGTCATATTGTGGCGCTGTGGCCTAATGCATCAGACTGCAAAGTCGTTTGAACTGCAAAGTCAGTGGTTCAAGCTCACCAGCTGCTCCTTGGAAACCCTATACAGGATTGCTATGGATCGGAATTGACTCAATGGCACTTAACAACAGCAAGGGGCATGTTACTGATTTATTTTAAAATATGACAAAGAATTAAGGAGCAGACAAGATCCGTTATTTAGTGAAAACTGTGACAACAAAATCAGGGTTTGAGTAGGAAAACTAAGTAATTTGGTGTATGAAGGAAAAAATTGTTAGTGCAAAAAAAAAAGTTGAAAAGCATTAAATATATTTAACCAAAATATAAATAACTAAAAGCCTGAAAATGACTGCTAATGTTTGCCAAAGCCTTGCTTTTCTCTTTCATTATTTCAGTCTCGAGTGGAGATATTGTGATGACCCAGAGTCCACTTACCCTGCCCATCACACTTGGAGAGTCAGCCACCATCTCCTGCAAGTCGAGTCAGAGTGTTGTACATAGTAATGGAAACACCTATTTGCTCTGGTACCAGCAGAAACCAGGCCAAGCAACAAGGCTTCTGATCCATCAGATTTCTAAACGGTTCACTGGGGTCCCAGAAAGGTTCAGTGGCAGTGGGTCTGTTACAGATTTCACTTTTAAAATCAGCAGGATTGAAGCTGAAGATATTGCAATTTATTACTGCATGCAAGCTACTGAAAATCCTCCCACAGTGATACAGACCTGAACAAAATCCTGTGGTTAGTGTGGTCCAACTGCCCAAATGTGCAGTATGTCTGAGAGCAGACACAGTGCATTCTCTGACTCTGCTGTAGAGGAAGATGTTAGATAAGTCAGGAGGATGGGTTGGGACTGAGGCAGGATAAGGGGCAGGTTTATTTGAGCAGGTGTCAGACTCTACGCTTAATGAGGCATCAAATGTGATATGCGCAAAAAAAATATTAATTGAGCAATTAACTGGTCAAGTACCCATCAATGGATAAATGGATAAACTATGGTATCTACACATGACATACTATTCAATTTTTATGAATGATAAAGTATCTACTAAACACCTCATCATGTGGATGAATTTACAGAATCTTACAGAGTCCTGGTGTGGCACTGTGCGTTAATGCGCTGGACTGCAAAGTAATTTTCAACTGTAAGGTTGGCAGTTCAAGCTCATTATTCTCCACTGGGAAACCCTGTCCTATGGTTCAGAGTCGACTTGACGGCACTGTACAACAACAATAACAAAATATTGAGTCATATTATTTCTTTGTCAGTAGGACAAATATGACTCCACTATTATAAAAAGAACAGGCAAGGACTGCACATGAAATGAAACATTCTTTGGTTCAGAGATGGAAAGGGAGTAAAAACTAAACTACTGCCAAAATAACAACTAGGTAATTTTTCTGTGGTTGCTAATTTTCAAAGAGTTGATTCTGACTCATAGTAACCATATATACGTTTATTGCAAATCAGCTGGTAGGTGTGAACTGCCGATTTTATGATTAGTAATCCAATGCTCATCCTACAACACCATACAGGTATAGACTTGGAGGAAAGGCAAGGCAATATTCTTCAAGAAAATAAAAGTACAATGTCAGTAAAGTAAAGGTAGGCACAGAGAGAAACACAAAAGTTACAGACAACAAATTAAAGTACTATAGAACAGAGAATCATATGAAATCAGTAGTATGGCAATTCCAGTGTACAGTTCAGTGGCAAAATTATATTCACAAGTCCTGGTATGGCACTACAGGATATACTTTGTACTTTGACATATAAAAGTGACTAAAAGCAGAGAGCAGAGATCAGAGAGATCTAATTACCACCAAGAAAGAAGAGACAGGTCTTCTTGAATCACTTCCTAGCCCCAGAAGACTGATGCCAAGATGGGCTAACAGATGCTAATAAAGACAAGGACCTTCCTCCCGAGCTGAGAGAGAGGGGAGACTTTCCTCTAGAGCAGGCATCATGAGAAATCAAACTGCTATCCTCCTAGATTATAGGAGAATGCATTTCTGGATATTAGAGTCATCCACTTGTTGTATTTGTTACAGCAGCACTAGCTAATCACTTCAAAGACTAGGATATTCACTTCAAAGATGTTGTTTGTTGTTGTTAGGTGCCATTGAGACGGTACTGACCCATAGTGACCTTATGCACAGCAGAATGAAACACAACCTGCTTCTGGGCCAACCTCACTATTGCTGCCATGCTTGAGTCCATCAATACTGCCACTTGGCCAATCCATCTCATTGGGGATCTTCCTCTTTTACTCTGACCCTCCACCTTACCAAACATAGTATCTTTCTCCAGTGACTGGTCCCTCCTGACAATATGTCCGAATAAGAGAGATGAAGTTTGGCCATGTTGGCCTCCAAGGAACACTCTGGATGTATTTATTCCAAAAGAGATCTATTGGTTCTTTTGGCAGCCCATGGCACCTTCAATACTCTCCTCCAACACCATAACTCAAAAGCATCAATTTTGAGTATGGTCTTCCTTATTCACTGTCCAGCTTTCTTATGCATATGAGGTTACTGAAAATACTATGGCTTGGATCAGGCATACCTTAGTCCTCAAGCTGATATCTTTCCCCTTCAACACTTTAAAAAGTTCTTGGGCAGCAGATTTGCCTAATGCAATATGTCACTTGATTTCTTGACTGCTGTTTCCTTTAGTGTTTATAGTTGATCCAAGAAGAATGAAGTCCTTGACAACTTCAATCTTTTCTCCGTTGATAAGAATGTTCTTTATTGGTCCAGTGGTGAGGATTTTTGTTATCTTTACATTGGGATATAATCCATTCCAAAGGCTGTGCTCTTT